CCACGCATTTTGTGTGCTTGAATACTATATTGTCACTCAGTGAGGACACTGTGCAATGCCGTAAGTAATCAAACAAAGGGATGACTTGACGAGTACACTAACTTTTCAAACTATTTAACAATAAGAATGCAGTTGGTTTCAAGTTCTTACGGACAAAAATAATGAAATAACGAGGGTCGTCCTACAAGGCGAAGAGTGAAGGCAACTGGAACAAACGTGAAGACATCGCCTTGCTTGCTCCTTATTTTGCGTCGTCACGCTCATTCTCAAGCTCGGCGGTGACGACCTGTTGTGCCCTGTTATTCAAGAGCGCAGCTTTAATTTCACAAACGTAAGGCCTCGAGCAAAAGGCCCCGTTCCAGGTAAGCAGTGACACGCATACCACACAGCAGAGCTGCGCCATTCCTTTCTTCTCTCGTTCGACGCTTTACTAGGCCATGCCATTCCAGCACAGCCACTTTGCACCCTCTCATCTCCTGACTACGAAGTGTGGCTGAACGCTGTCTAGTTTTCTTTGCGTGGGTGTCCAAGGAGTCAGTGATTTCCGAACGAACGGAAGAGTTTTTCCGCTCCCTTGGTTTCCTGGTGACAGCCGCTTAGACGGATGCCATAGGGCACTCCTTCCTCTCCCAAACGCATCCCAGACTTGCCCTCTTGTGCGTAGCGTCTTCAGAAGTGGTGCCTTCCTGTCTTGTAGAATCGCAAAAGTGAGAAAGGTTAGGAGCCAGCGCCCGCGCGGCGGCACGCGCGTGCTTTTGTTGCATTGCGGGCATTTCCTGCTGCCGTTCCACATCAGCGCACGCACCTCATCTTCCGCTCGTCCTCTCTCCGTCACCTGCCAACGTGAGTCTGCAAAAAGGGACAGCCGCCGGGGCCCGAGAGATAGATCTGAACTCCTTCCCCTCTGTCCACGCCAAGGCCGTTTATCGCGTTCCTTTTGGCGGCTGCCTCCTTGCCATCCGGCGTCTCCTGTTCTTCTATGCTGCAGAATGACACCATCTCGCCACGATGTGCGGCCTCGACGACTCTGTAAATGACGGGTCTGAGCAGTATCCGACGCGTTACAAGGGAAAGGTTGGGAGATGAGTGTGGGCTTGGCCCCGAGTCAGCCTTGTTCGGCGGAAGCGATGGAAGTTTTGTGCGGGCAGTCTTACTTTGTGCTTTTTACGTGTGTCCACGTGCGTCGCAATGAATGCAACGCGCTTAGAAAAACGGGTTAGGCGGAGGCCCTTGGACGAGATACCTTTCAGACTCTAGCGACAGCGAGGGGTTGATCCTCTATAGAAGTCGCTACTGTTACCAAAGAAGCTCGTTGCTCGAAAGTTGGTGTCTTAGTTTAGATAGCAGCTACCGCGAGTGAAAGCGAGGCCTATACATCGACGCGAACGAAGTACTGGGACGCGCGGGGTGTAATTTGTTTTTAATTTCTGAACTCGGGGTGACTAGGGTAATATTATACAATGAAGATCTCTCTCTATATACACGCATGGACGCACACACAAACATAAACACGCCGAGAGAGAAACAAATGAGAAGACATTATATTATAAAAAAATCAGCATTATAAACCAGCCAACCACTAGTAGTAATTGTAGGGGTTCATAGTACCAAAACTATGATGCAATTATAAGGAAATCCGCCGCGAAGTGCTCCAGAGAATTCGACTGACGGGATCGTAAATCTATGTAAATATCTGACATATAGATCTCTGCATTTCATTTGTGTGTTCTTCGTTTACCATGTATTGTGCATATTTAGACATTGTTTTTGTAACAATTCCTGTGAAGTTGGGTAAGTTGTGTATGTTGTGTTCCGTTTACATATGTACACATATCTTTTTGTAACAACTTTTGGTGTGTTTGTGGATGTTGTGTTCTGTCGCAATGTTCTGTTGAATTGTATTTGATGTTCACTGTCTGTGAGAATAAATTTCTCTAAACAAATCTGAGTAACAAGGGCGTCAAGTATATTCGCCTTCATAAGAAATGTAAATCTGCCTGCCATTAGGGTATATAATTAGGCCCCATAGTGGAAGCGCCGTCGTGCACACATTTTGACAAAACATCTGCTTGGTATGCTGAGAGAAATTGATCGCATTTCCGCTTGTAGTCAAATTGATTTATTACAAATAGTGTGTCCCTTGAAAATAAGATAGATATGTGCATTTTTGAGAGCTCAAAACGTGGTTCTCCATCTTGAATTGGGCATGAAGAGAGAGTGAATAAAGTTTAATTTAAACAAACGCATTGTGTGCCCAAGGTGGGCGGCCTTCTTATTTCAGGTAGCCGCGAACATTCGCCCTCTCCCGTGCACGTTGAACGATGCTGCAATGATTCTTCAGACCTGGGGGTGATAACTTGGTCTCCCACTGCTCTTCAGTTAGTGGTAGGCTCCACGGCTTTGTCTGCATCTCCCATACCATATGGAATAGGGTTTGGGGAACATCACAGTGCTTGCAGGTGAATGAATACTTGGTTGGTGAGAGTCGGTGAAGCAGCATACCGTGAACTTAGGTGTTATTTTGCAGCTTCCTGAGGGTTACTGCCTATTTCCGAGTCAGGCTGGGGTGAGCTGGAGGATAATTTTTTTGTTCAGCCTCTAGTGCTGCAGTATATTATTGTACTTTTTTAGGTAAATCTTCTTTCCTCCTCAGTGCGTCCTGTGGGATCGCCCGGTGAACATAAGCTCGGGCGAAAGCATTGGCTGCCTCATTCCCCATCAGGGACTCGTGGCCTGGAGTCCAAACGTTGTACGTGACAGGTAGATTCCGCTTCGCTGCAGTGGCGAGAATTTTTAAGGCTTGCTTGCAAATTCTCTATTTCTGAAAATTTTGGCTAACTGCTTGAATCGGTTAGTATTGCTGCTTTGTCAGTACAGGTTTAGTCTGCTAGCGCTATCGCTCTTTCTTCTTCCCTGTCGATTTCTGTAGTTAAGATGCTAGCTGCCGTTCTCTCTTTGCCATCACTGTCGACTACGCTGACAGCATGGTCTGGGATTCCTGGATATTTCGCTGCATCAGTGTATCTTGAGTACGGATTGCGACTGTAATTTTGTCGGAGCTGCTTTATTCTGACTTTTCTTTTTTTCGAGATCATAGGTAGGATGCATATTTCGGGGAATGCGAGCTACTGAGATGTACTGTTCAATTGTTGCTGGAAAATTCTTTTCTTATCACATTCTTGCATTGCTTCAGAATAACACAATCTTCGAAGTGTCGCTCACGCTACTTTGAGTTCGTCTGACCCGTTCGAATCGATTTACTTTGTGTGCTACGACGAGCTCCTCCAAGGTGTTGTGGAGGCCTTAGCGTAATGGTCACTGCGTGGAAGCACGTTCAGAGATTCCTATGACAGTTTTGATGGCCTTTCGTATAAGAACAACGATAAAATAGGATGTCACGTGAACCATAAGATTACAGCCAAACTACGAAGAACGCACACAGAACCTACATTCCGCAGACTGCGTACACTCTGGCTAACTAGACGTTCCATATATGGAGCTGCTTGTAGAATTTCAAGCTGAACAGCTGTGCCGCCCGTGACCTCCAACGCCAGCGTAGCTCTCGCTGACTGGTTCGCCCTCCGCCACCTGCTGACGCTGTGCCCCCCTCGCCGTGTGGCGCCCTCGTCCTCGGAGTACAACGGTAACGTAGAGCGTGATCGTCATAAGTGCTCTCCTATTTCATCACTCAATAAAAAACGTGCTCTGGTCCGAAAAGCCCGTTTACCACAGCATCCTAACCTGTCTGCCTGTACGATGGGAGTTTTTGAATTTGAAAGAGGGGTGGCACCACAGCGGTGACTGTAAGCGTGAACAAATTTGCACATGCTAAGTTAATTATCGAGAGTTTCGCGGGTCAAAGTCGGGACATTTTGTTTTTATGTTTATGTTTTTATTTTGTTTCTATATGTGGGAATAAATAACCTCGTTTTAATGAACATGTGCTCAGAAGCATGAAAACGGTGAGTGGGGGGTGGCTGGTTCCTTTAGTGACCAGAGAGGGTGCAGGTATAGGTGATTCTGTTGCGCAATAGGAAGGGAGGTGTTCTGAGCACAGTAAATGTCTCTCGAAGAGGGCACTTGAACCGGCACACACATGGGAATGGGCAGAAAAAGCGGAGAGAGGGAAGGAGGGACACAATAGAGGGCTGCGCCATACATTCGCTTAATAGGGGAGGGAGCAGCCGCTACCAACCTTCCTTTTACCCTTCCCCACCTCCTTTGAAGGGGCAATCCACGCACGCCTATCAATGGGCTTTATTTTGAACCAGGAGACCGGTGATGGCCTTAACAAAAGGCCTTTAACGAACAGCCTAGTGTATACCGACGTTAACGTTAGTTTCAGCCACCCGACTAACCAAGTTGCACCATTAATTTTGTCGCGTTTTAGGACATTGGTTATAACGAGTTATTTAAAACATTGAATACTAGCTATACGAAAGTAGAAAAAAATGATTCAGTTAGTTCGTACAAGATTCAAATTGCATATTCAAATGTCTACACACGCCCCATGCTGATTGGTACGAAAACATGAACCACTCACAAAAATGAGAGCAACGTGTGACTTGAAGTACCAGCTGGCAATTAAAATGCGAACAAATACTTTATCCGATTTCGTAAATGGACGTCCATTAATGTGAGAATATTGTATTATTCTATGCATATAGACAATATAATGATGCAAAATAATATGTAAGAGGTTTAGCCGTAGCGATACTAAACACGAACCTATGATTAAACACATTCAGTAAATAAAAAGCACTTGAATTTACTCAGTCTTTACAGACGCAAAATCTATATTGACCGTATAGACATTTAACGTTCTCACTGTACACGAAAGTCTCATATTTTCTAAGGTTCTAGTGAAAACAGTATCGGATGGGCTGCCCTAACATCCCCGTTATTGAAAATGGTAGATCCTTAAAAACGAGCAGCGCCACAGATGCTCGGAAGGTGTAAGAAAAAGAGGAGCGAAAGAGACGCGGCCACAGGCTGCTCACCCGTGACAAAAAGGCTGCCGGCGCTGACGCTGGGCCGGATGTCCCCAGTCAGTCGGTGTCGGACGTGACAGCGGTAACGATGTCTGGCGTCAGACACGTCAGTCGCCCCGAATACGCACAGGTCGCCGTCTGAAGTCACCCGGTACTTGGGGCCGAGTTCAGTCGCTAATAGAAAGAAGCAGAGAAAGATACAGAAGCATAAGTTGAGGTGAGGTAGTCTATCAGCAAGCACAGAAGTTAGAGGATGCTCCAAAGGACGTAAACGGCTTAGAAAAGAAAAGCAGGTAGAATACGAGAGTAGCATTGGTTACATAGTGGGATTTAGGAGCTACAATGCAGACGATCAGTACGCAAGAGCTATCTAATGTAAAGCATTACTACCAGTCCCCCGTATCAACTATCTATCACAAAAAAGATGAATTGGTTCAACTGGTGGCGCGCATCAGCGTTTTTACTTTGCACGACACGGATGACGCTTATGTATGTTTGAGTTTTACGTGCAACAAGAACAATATCGTATATATATATATATATATATATATATATATATATATATATATATATATATATATATATATATATATATATATATATATATATATATATATATATATATATATATGATACGATAGTTCTACATTATTGCTATCAAAGCTGTGATATAAAATTAAGTAATTGAGACAAAAGCTTCTCTGTGGTCTTGGTGTTCCACGCCATAGGTGGAAAAGATTAAGAGATTACCAAGTGCCTACTAGTCTTCAGAGCATCAGAGCTTGGCTTGAAATACCAACCTACCTCTCCAAAATAGGTCAAGAAAAGGTTTATTATGTTTCATTCAATTATTTCATACTTTCTCAGAGGTTCGTTTTTTAAATGAATTATTTTATTCCGTCAATCTATAAAGGTCACCAGGTGTTTGACTTTATAGTTTCAAAATGCACCACTGCTCCTCAGGTGGAGCTAGGAGTTTTCTGTAGACACGGCCGGATGGTACGAATGGAAGGAAATGTTTCCATTGAGACCTTCGCAGTAAAGGTGATTGCACCACCGTTTTGCAGTATTTGAAAACTTTGGCTTCTACACAACAATCCAGACATGTGACTATACGGTAAATTCATGCATGACGCACACAATCATAGGCCCAGCGTGTCTTCAAAATATGGGTCCTTCTTCTAAGCTGTACACAGCTGGGAACGCAAGCGTACTTCAGAGGAAAATGTGGCTCACTTCGAATTCGTTTGATATCGTTTGTCTTTTTTTTCCTTCAAGCAACCAGTTTGTAGGGCTCAAATGAGGCGTATGAAACGGCTCTTCAAGTGATGCTTAAGACAAATGGCTGACGCCATTTCGCTTGTTGTCGGTTGGTGAAGCACACCTCTTGATGGCTAGTGACAAGAAAGAGAAACGAGCATGTCGCTCGCGTTTTCATAAGCACGAGTGACTTCTCTAGTGGAAGCGAAGCGAAAACCTCGCATCTCGGTCCCGCAATCCTACGCAAACGTGGCGCGATGGCTGCGATTGCTGAAATTGCTCGGCACGGTCCCACACACATGCAAGAAAAGGAAAGACTTCGCATAAAACTGAGACGCTGGATTTCATGATTGTGAATCCAAAAGTGTTCTTTCCACCCCTTTCTGCTAAACTTTTTTTTATTTTAACCAGCATCAAGCAAAGCACGTGCAAAGAAACTAGCCTGTCTTTCCTGTTTCCTCGATTTTTTCTTGGTGCAGGAAGGATTGTGTTGTAAAGAATAGTCTGTACGCTGCAAATCGAGGACACACGCTGCGGCTCAAGTCTGGCGTTCACGCTGCAGCATGTTACGTCGGCAAGGTTTCCTAAAAATGGGTGCCCTGCCGAGTTCAAACAATTGACGGACGCAGACGTGACTGCCATTGACGCAATTTATTTGTAAAGCATAATAAATGTGGCAATTCACACGCTTACCAAACACTAAAAGTAAAGGCGCATTGTAAAACATGCGTTCGAAAATAACGTGAGCAGTGCGATACAATATAATCAGGTGGCTTTTACGGCCACGCGCATAGGCAATATTTCATCATAATCACCCTCTGCGGCTTCATCAACATCGCGCTGTTTTTACATGTACTTCAAGAGGGAGGCGTCTCGCAGCTATCTCTATTTCACCCTGCGTTGCACAACGTCATTATGTTTTACACCTGCAATTTCAGGGGCGAAGCTCCTTATAGCCGCACCCGTTCGTCCCTTGTAGTCGTAGTAGTAGTGTGTAACCAGTCTTACATTTTGACCTCCAAGGTGGTGCCGGTGGGAGATTTTAGAGAGTTTTAGTACTGCGGAATGGTGCTACGTACGCATCACGCAAGCGCCTTGCGTTACGTGGCGTCGTTTGCCACTAATCGGCTTTTAGTACGCCGTAGTACCCGCGTACGTAACGAGCGTGAAGCGTGTTGCGCCATCTGGTAGATCAAAATAGAAGCACGTGTTGTTGACCGCCAATGTGAGCCAATCCAAGTGTTATAGCCAGATTATGGCCATATTATAAGCCACAGAGCTGGTCGGTGCTTGCCTTCGATGCCGCCATTTTGCAAAACGAAGTCTCGCGCTGTCGCGAACTTGTTCGAGAGCGGCGCGATCACCTCATACGTACGCACGCACGCATCTCATGCGTGCGTACCGTAGCGGCTGCGTACGTAATGCGATACGTGCGCGTTGCGGTCTGCGCATGCGCACTACGCAGAACGTGGCGTCCTTACGTACGCAACGCCGCCACGTACGCAGCGTACGAAACAGCGTTGTGCCAGTACGTTTTTTGGCACTGGTACACACTGGAGACACTGGTACACGCTTGTAATCACTGGAACTTCGTTGGGCGCACTGGGAAAAGGCTGCGTCGCACTGGTAGGGGTGCTGGCTCAACCGATGTGATGCTGGTGCGCACTGCAAAGCGCTGGAAGCGCTGGGATTTTCACTGACAAGAGCTGGTGAATACTGGAGCACGCACTGTTTCTACCAGCGCAGCTGCAGCGTGCATGTTATAGTAGCGTGTGCCTTGGTTTGTTTCGGTGTCGTTGAATATAAAACGCTTGATTCGACGGCAGGGAACGATGCTACCCTAACAGATACCGAGCATACGTAATTTTTGCGGTGCACGTACGTATCGCAACAACTATAATGCACCTTTTTTTCATATGCCACCACGTAAACCGGCCATATTCGCATCATTCGTGTATTGCTGTAACGATTCCGAATTGCAGTGTTTGTAAGCCTGGAGCTGCACACCACTCCTAACAGAAACAGGAAATTGTTTTTGCCGCAAAGTGGCAAGGAAACGTAAATGAGCTCTCTCGATCACTTCGCAAGTTTTCCCAGCGGAGGCGAGAAAAAAAAGCTGTCGTTCGATTCCGCCACACCTTGTAAATGTATGTCTGGTCGTGCTTATCCTTCTACTTACTTCAGGTAAGAGTTGGAAATGTTCCGAAGTTCAAATGCAGAATCTTCAACTATACGAACTCAACGCTTCGAGAGCGGTCTTACCCAGTGTCCGGCCCAGTGTCCGGCCCAGCGAGCAATAAACGTGTCGTGCCAGCGGCGTTGGTATATATGTTACCGGCGCTTCTTGCTTCGTGTACATACAACTTTAAAGTGTGGGAATAACTGTAAAGCATAATTTAGACTTCCATGAACCTAAATCAACTATTTTGTCTTGTGTAGATGCTCGCACCAGGGGCGCTGACGATCGAACGTCGCGCTTTCAGCTACGCAGGCTGTCACCGAAAGCTGCCGACCGTGCTTAGCCGGTACTTTTCTGACTGAACAACACGCAATTTTCGGTAGGTAATTTGGTACGCCTTCGTTAACTGACTCCCTGACATACGTTTTCAGTGGATTGCATTGGTATTTGAATGGGTGTTTTTTTTAAGTGTTGCTATTGATATAACTGCATATATCTGTACACTGGCACGCCCACTGTATACTGCCAGCGGAGGCCAGAAAAATGGCTGTCACTCACCGTCGCCACTCCGTAAATGCATTTCCGGCATTCATTGACCTTCCACTTACTTCAGGTACAGTTTAGGTAACTGTTAGAAATATTGCGAAGCTCAAATGCAGAAACTTCAAGCATCGCAACTCAGCTGCTTCGAAAGCAGCCTTACCCAGTGCCCCGTCCCAGCAAGGCCTATCGTGCCGCCCGCGTGGGTGTACCAACATGCTGCCGGCGCGTTTTACTTTAAGTAGGCACGATTCTAAAGTGTAAAAATGACTGTAAAGTACATTTTAGACATCCCTGAACCGAAATCGACCATTTATCCGCGTGTGGGGTGCCCGCACAAGGAGAGGCGACGATCGATGTGTCGTGCTTTCAGCAACGTAGGCTGTCACCGAAAGCTTCCTTCTGAGCACAGGAGCCGGTACTTCTCTGACTCGTACGTAACAACACGCAATTTTGAGTTGGTAAATTGGTACGCGTTCGTGAACTAACATACTGGCATACTTTTTCATCGGATTGCATTAGCCATTTCTTCGGCGGTTTCTTAGTTGCAGGTATCGATATAACTGCAAATATGTATTCTGGCACGCCGGATGTGTACTGCTAGCCCCGCCGTGGTGGTTTAGTGGCTAAGGTACTCGAGCTGCTGACCCGCAGGTCGCGGGATCGAATCCCGGCTGCGGCGGCTGCATTTCCGATGGAGGCGGAAATGTTGTAGGCCCGTGTGCTCAGATTTGGGTGCACGTTAAGAACCCCAGGAAGTCCAAATTTCCGGAGTCCTCCACTACGGCGTCTCTCATAATCATAGCGTGGTTTTGGGACGTTAAACCCCACAAATGAATCGATGTGTACTGCTACATCGTCACTTGCGCGAAAAAAAAAATACTCAATATTCACTCGTGTGCGTTGATATCCACCAAACAAGACATGTAAATCATCTGTACTTGTTGACCAGTAGCAAGTGCTAGAAACGACTATCAAAGGGAAAAAAAAAACTATCGGCAGCAACAGCTGACAATCTGTGGCTGCTCCTCCAGTCAATTTGAGATTTTTCAGAGTTAAGATGTAGATGCTTAAAAAAAAAAAAACTTTGCACTCTTGCTAATATCTGCACGTCATTGGGTGCCCGGAAGCCGTTCGTCACTGTCGAATCAAGAAGCAATTGTTATTTGAAAAGGAATGTCGTGTCAGTCTTGAC